CGCCGACGCGTTGTGGTACTGTCACACCAAGAACACGATCCACCGAGACATCAAGCCCGAGAACCTCCTGATCGGCGCCCACGGCGAGATCAAGATCGCCGACTTTGGCTGGTCCGTGCACGACCCCAAAGTCAGGTAACACGCCTCCCCTCTGCACTCTCTTCAATTTCGTGCGCGTGCGGTATGCGTGTGCGTGTCATGTGCGTGCGCGTGTGTCGTGTGTCGTGCGTGTGCGTGTGCGTGTGCGGTGGTGTCTAACAATACAAAACACGCGTTTTTGGTTGCTGCAGCACGCACGGCCCGCGAAGAAAGACCCTGTGCGGTACCCTGGACTATCTCCCGCCGGAGATGTTGGAGGCCAAGCCCCACGACGCCAAGGTCGACAACTGGAGTCTGGGCGTCCTCCTCTACGAGTGTACGTTCTCCCCCCCCCCGTACCACCTCCATTTTCACGGCCAACGGCTCAACCCACTTCTTTTGTATACGTGCAGTCCTGGTCGGGCGGCCGCCCTTTGAGACGGAGACCCAGCAGGCCACCGTCCACCTCATCAAGAACGTAACGATCCAGTACCCGACCGATCTGATCTCGCCCGGTATGTTGCACCATACCATGTCGTCACGGCGCGATCGTCTGGTTGCATTGGCCAACTGCATGGCCGCGGTGGACTGACTTTGACTTGTCGGCGTTGCAGGCGCTCGCGATCTGATCTCGAGGCTGCTGCAGAAGGACCCCTCGCAGCGCCTGTCGCTTCAGCAGATGATGGAGCACCCGTGGATCAAGCAGTTCGTCAAGAAGTACTACTGAGGCAGGCCGCACACCCACACACCTTCAAGTCACCACTTTCAAGTGGTATCTCCTCTCTCGCTTTATCGTGTGCATTGGATGCGCATGATGAGAGCACCTTCTTTTCTCTTTTCTTCTTCAACAAGACCTGCATTTGAGCCCACACCATAGCGTACGAGTGAAACCCTGTGTTGCACAGCTGTGCACTCGTCGTCGTCGGTTTGTGGTCATCAACGTCGCTTGTAGCGTTCCTGCTGGAGGACGTACTGGCGCGTAGAACAGCCCAGCACCACCGTGTCGCCCTCCTTCAGCTCCACATACCTGTGTGCCACGTTGTGTGTGTGGTGTGTCGTG